AAAAAGATTTTGTAAATAAGAATATAATTTAACACAGAGTAACTTTCTTATTATAGCCACGGAAGAGTGAGCGTTTAAGGCTAAAATCGTGGGTTTTCAACAGTTTGCTCTCTGGTGCTCCGTATCTACTAGGTTAGTCACTTGCACTTTCAGGGCTTGTAGAAGTAGAAGTAAAAATACAAGTCAAAACTGAATCTCATCCAAAGTCTGTCATTTTCGCCAATATAGTGCATAGTCGTATGAATTCAAAGCTTGACAAAATATTGTCCAATGCTGATTTCAATGCTCTCGATCGCGCTGCTTCTTCTGATCCTGACGCGGAAGAACCACTCAGCTTCCTCCACCAGCACTATTCACCGAATCTTTTGCCATGAACAAGCGGCCTGATCCTAATTGTCTAGCAGGGATAGTAGAGTATTTTGTACATTTCGCGCATTTTCGTGAGCTGGGGAAGTGCAGTTCTAGTCTGTGAATGGGTCAGATCCAACAGGTGGTTGGCACCGCGCTGTTGAGAGTAGACTCGCAGCACCTGGTGCACCTCGTAGGCGCTTGTCAGGCTGTTGATTTGTTGCTCATTCCTGATCTGATGGTCGAATCGATGTTCTGGAAGATGTCGGCGAGAAGGTGGTTGTTCATGCTGTCCCAGTAGTCTAATTTACTTCGAGACCTTCACACCACAAGTTCCTACCCCTAAGCTCATGTAAATAGCTACCTAGGGAATATTGTGAGCTACGTCTTTCCCATTTTCATGTGCAGTTTTTCTACACAGAGCCTGGTTGTTAGATGTCATGACAAAGATTTCTGGAATGACTGGTCCAGAGTCAGCCAGAGATGGGGTTTCTTGAAGTTGAAGCCATAATGACGTTGGTACACACAATTCTGCGGACCCTCGGGACAACCAAGGAGACAATGTAAATCCGACGAGTGTCTTCTCGTGGCGCGCCATGCCCACTCTTGGCTGGTCCTTGTCCTCGCTGCTGAGGGCTGTCCATTTTTGCTCAACGCACGGGATTGGTGAGGGTAGAGTTGCAAAAGTGAGGATGTACAAAGTTGTAGAAGGGGCCAAGAGATGGGCAAAGGTTGAAGTTGGGAGGTTACGGTGAGAGCGGTGCAGACAAAAACCAGTGTTGCGCTGTTCTACGGCGCCTGCGGAATGACCTGGAGAAATGTGTGCCACAGGATGATGGATGAGATCGGTCTGTGTGAAGTATCCAACGTCGTTGGATATGTATCATCTACATGGAAGAGCAGAGTATCAATCTCTGCTTTGGGTCGTGTGCGTTGAGCCATGCTGTGGTTGTTGTGGACAGCTTGTGTCTCGTTGTGTGCAGTAGTAATCATGGACCGCTGGCCTCGTAGTTTATTCTCTTCAGGCGCTCGGAGTGAATAGTCATCATAAAGTTCGACATCAAGTTGGCGTTGGGGAACTTCCTCAGTATGGTGCAGGTCTTGCGATGCTGGTTGAGACCTGACTGAGTAGCAAAGGAAGATTCACCGCAGCCGCTGCAAGGGAAGCTGTTCGGTCTTGCCACCAGGTGCTTTCCACTGCAGAATGCGCGCCCTGAATCTCAGTGAGCCAGACAACCTTGGGACGTTGTACCGGTGTCTTAATTAGCTGAAACCAGCGCCTGTTACTGCTGTTAGACCGTGATAACATTTCAACGGAAACGAAAAGACTTGCGCGCAAAATTTTAGATTATGGTTTTGTTCTTCTGGCATCCACAGAAAGACTGAGACTTTGAGTTGATGAATTGATGGAGTGATGATTGATGGATGACTCGATGAGTTTATGACCGTCGACATCGTTTTAAATCCATGGCAATTCAGAAAGGATTCCACGATGCAGACATAGGGAGAAATTCGTTCCTTATATGTTAATGCCTGCCGTGTAATTGAGGGAATCAGGTGAAGGGGGGAAAATCGAAGGTGCCGTCAACATCATTCCGTTGGGCTTTGCTCGTTTCAGAAATAGGTCAGCAATAAACATGAGTAGGTAGCTGGGCGGCAGGACCACTTACCCGAGTACCTGGATCGTCAGCGTGGTGGAGGTTTGCAATGTCGTAAAATATTGGATCGATTGTCGCCTAGGGAGGCATAGTACTGGTTTTCTGAATGCTTGGTGATGTAATGCTAGGTCGATTTCCCACAATGGATGCTCCCACGGGATCAGTTGGAACACCTGACCCATGTGATCCCGGGTGCTTAAGTGGTGGTTGTAATCAGAATTGTTCGTAATCGAACAATCGATTGTGACTGAGCACTTCTCCCAGTCCATAGCCGCCTGGTCAGAGTCCGGGTCTGTCACGAGCTTGTTGGCAAGCCCGGTATACATGACAGCGCCGTGTTCTCTTGACTTGCAAACCGCAGCGGAATTAGCGTGGTGTCGCCAGGGCACAGTCGTAAACCCCGGCGGTCTACGATTGCTTCGGCGGCGACTCGGGACAGCACTACCGGGTTGGAAACATTGCGTCCTGCGAGATTAGACTTATCGAGCGTCTCTCACAATCGACGACAAGTTATATGCCCAACCCAGTAAAGTAACTTAGCAGGACATAGGTCTCTCTTTTGGAGGCCACATATAAATGCCCAGAAATCGCAGTCGTGTTTATAATACCATAACCGCGTATTAAGCCAATCGCGGAGGACATCCCAAGTCCAGCCGAATGCCTTTGCTGTGGCTTGCGTGAGGGGGGTAAAGGGGAAAAAGATCCAATCGGTCGGCGGCGGTCTGGATGGTGCAACATGACAAAAATTGGTCTTTTGTGTAGTCCGTACCAGAGCCGCGTATTGAGCCAATCTCGAAGGACATCCCCAGTCCAGCCGAAGCCTCGCGCAGTGCCTTGTCCCGAGTACCGATCGCTTCTTGGCTGGTAATTCCACAGGCCAAGTGATAGAGGCGACCTGGTCAGGCGCTTCATCCAAGATGTTAGTATGAAGCCATCGAGAGAAAAGTGTGAACAATCAACCTACACCGGCTGCCTACCACGCTCTGCATGGCAAGTCGAGACTATTCCATCAGTCCATGGATTGTCGGTTGGTTCTTCTAGGTTGGCAAGTTCTACTTGCCAGTCAAGCCCAGATGGTGAGCCTCGGGCACTGGAAACTCAGATTCCCAATGTCACCTGGTGTTCTAAACGATGATAGTAGTGTGACCGACGTTTTGGTGTCGGTTCTGAAAGCAAGACAGATGCTCTCCAGATCTGGACCGGGATACAGTCTGTTGATGGAAGTTTGTAGTTGGTCGAAGTGATTGAGCAAACTCAGACTTTCCTTCGGACATCTTTCACCTCCTCGTTGACCTTTATCTTGCCAGGTTACACTGGGGGGCACAGGTCGTCCACTGTGCCATCTTGATTGCATCTTAGTGGAAGCTGGGGCTGAGAAGAGGAATTGGAGAACTTACAGCTAATGTCTTTGGGCACTTTTCTTGGAGCTTCGCAAGTCATTTTCTCGACCCGGGCACATTGAGCAGCTTGGTGTACTCAGTTGCTTGTTTCTCAATAGCGTCGGCTTTGATATCGAGACCTATGGCCCCTGTCTCATTGCCCCCTCGTAGCGATCTTGTCTGGCGCGGGTTCTTTCGTCCAAGTTCCACTCGAACTCGGACTCGTCTAATTTGGATGCTTGAGACATTCTAATCAGCGTGTTTTCCTAAAGACGTACAATTTCTTATATATGAACTTACTCTGATCATCATCAGCATCATTATCTGCAGTCTTTTGCTGCGTTTCTATGGACGGTCAGCGCGGGATCAATATGTCAAGTGAGTGTTATCTACAGTTTGGAGTTTTGTTGGGTGTCTGCGAGGGCAGGTATGACGAGATTGGTTGCTAGATGACTTACTTAGAGTGGCACATTTGTTATTCGGTTTTCAGGTCAGATTGATACCATTCCTAAGAGGATGAAGTTGACCGAAGTTCTTCTTTGTCGCCACTGCCCATAGCCAAATCCATCCAGAGTCCAGACCGGGATCCGTCAGTCGATCTCGCCATCACTATCCTCGCCCTCGCTATCGGGGATGCTCCGGTGTGGGCATATCTTTTCGTGAAGGGTGAGGCCGTACTTTGTGAAAGCGCGCAACGCACAATACCGGCATTTCGGGTGCTTGATCCCTCCTGCTTTGTACGACTTGCTGCACAAATTGCAGACCACCTTCCCGTTGTCGGGCACCTTGCTATGGAACGGGGGGAATATTCCATACTTGGACGCGGGGGGGGAGCGGGTTTCCGGGCGAGGAGCGAAGACATGATCCCTCGGACTGGCTGCGCCTCCCGTGATAGGTGCCGGCCACACTGGCGCCGTGGTGGGTGCATCGGAATTGACAACCATCAATTAGGGGGCAAGTGGAGTGGTTGGTGGCCAGATGGTTCTGCATCTGTGTAGCGGCCCGACTTGCCCCAGTGGTTCCCAGAATTCACCGTCTACACAGTTCTTCAGGTTCCACTGAAGATTCTTTTCCCGACGAAAGACGAGTGGCGGCTGGCGTCGCCCTGAGGTGACCGGCGAGATGATCCGGGTGCAAGACTGGGCACGTCGAAACTTGGTGTCTCTCAAGATTCTGCTTGAGAGTGCGCGTCGAAAAGCTCATGTTGTATTGGTATCCAGTATTGTCATACTGGACCGTATGGATCCAACATGGCTGTTCAGGAGGAGGCAGTGTGGTCACGTCCGAGAACTTCCCACTCGGACTTTTGCACAGGTCGAGTCTGCGACCTGTTTGCATCAGGAGAAGCGGTGTGTTAGCTTCATGTGTTAGCATTCCGTCGTTCATTCTATCGTCGGGAGGATACTATACCTTCTCTGTGGCGGCCAAATCAGCACAGCAGTGGTCGCGGATGCTCAACACCTCAGGCACTTTCTCGACTTCTTATCATGATTGAGCAGCTCGATTGTGTATAAGACGAAAGCAGATGATCAGCGAGTTGCGCTTTGTACTGTGGCTCGCCAATGACAATATCTTTATAGTTGTGGAGCTTTCGGTCTTGTAAGTAGATAGCATTTCCAACGTGTCTTTGAATGCGTTTCTGTAACCATCCAATAGGAATCTGGAATATGGGCTGTTTACGCGGCGCAGGACGCGGTCGATGCATGGTTTTTCTTCTCGTCAACTTGCTCGGATCCGGCTTGAGACCCTTCTCTTGCGCTCTGTGGTAAAGAGATAAAATCTCCTGGTCTTGTTCGGATGCGATTTTGGCAGCCTTTTGCTCAGTATCCAGGTCGAACACCTCTTTAGCGTTATCGTTATCATCATCGTCATCTCGAGATTCAGGATTGGTTATGACCTGGCGCTGGGGAAAGTGGCCCCGAGAAGGACCTTCGCCGACAGAATCAGAATCGCTGGCGTCTTGGCTCTGGGAAAGGTCATCTTGGGAAGCATCGTCGTCGGTGTAGTCTCGAGCGCCTATTGTGTAGGGGGTCAGATGGGAAATCCACTGGCTCTCGAGTATGTTTCCAGCATTGTGATGACGACTTACTTGCCATGTGTTGCCAGTGAACGCCTGAAGTCCCTCGTCTTCGGCAAAGTATCTAAATCGCCTCCATCTCTAGCTGAGCCTTGAGGAGAGCCCATTCTCGCCGCAAGTTCTACTTGCTGGTCGATTGATCATGTTGAAATAGGTTTTGGAAGATATGTCAATGATCCGGCAGTGAAAAGTGAAAGAAACTGATCGAGGATTACACCAGTCGTTCGAGCTGTTCTGTTGATACATTGGAAGAAAAAAGAAATCAACGGTCAATAGAAAGTCTGAAGGAGACGGGTTGTTGACGAATGAAAGTTCAAAGACAGAATGGACAAAAATTAATACAATGAAGAATAGAATACATGAAAAGAAATGGAGTCAAGGTAAAGGTGATGTTTGAGAAGTTTGAAGTTGACTTGAGGTGGAATCAGGACTGGCTTATATGTTTTTTTCATGTCCAGAACAACCGCTAGAGACCCCCGGTTGCCTATTCAGCGTCGAGAAGTCGTCTACTAATTCTAGCAATGTACTTGTATTAGGCACAACTTCAAAATACTTGTTCGCTCTACCACTTACCTCTCAGCATGTCGAACTCACAACGTGCTGATCCCAATAAGATACTCCAATGAGATGGATTGGTACTTCAACCTCGTATTCGCACCTGGTCAAAGAGCGTCGTTTGTTCGCCGACATGAAACATGAAATGCCATGACGCAATATTTGTCAAAGAATGACAAATTGAGCAAGACGGCGGAATGCATGAGACTATTCGCAATGGTCCCCGAGACTGGGCAGCTATGCACGCCTCCGCAAATGCGACATTTTGCTTTGTTTTTATTACGCTATTCTTATTTACAAAATGTTTGTACCATTCTCCACGATAACAGAAATAGAATCGAGCTATACGGTGATGGAGATCTAAACGAAAGAAAATAAGGAGAGAAAAAAGCGAAAAAGACAAGAAAGCCGGCGTTTGATTCATCATTTTTGCTTGATCATGTTTTCAGATGCGGCAGAATCGGATAGCTGCCATCCATACTCCAAATCAAGTATACCATCCAGGCCAGCGGCAGTCACCGCCTACAGTTGGCCAATGGTGTGCTGCAGGGACATGCTTTGTCCCCATTATTTCAGGCTGACGATGCTGTTGCTTCCCGCCTCATAGGCACATCTGTCTCCAAAAGGCTGGGTGAAATGACATGTGCTCGAATTCAGCGGTGAAACTGGCACTGAGACGGACGCATGTACATGCAGCCGACGCAAGCAGATATCCATTCTCAAATGCGGCGGACAAAGAAGATTGGGCATATTTTCTTTATGATCACTACAAGTTTGATACAATGCACTGCCGTTGCCACCTCCGTCTATGAGAGTTGATAGAAAAAAAGACGCCAACACATGACAACTGTTTCTCGATGTAGCATGCAAGTTGCCCGACCATGGCCGTGACTCTGTTTGTCGTCAGATCAGGCACACAGATTCGCGACGCATGCATGCTCCCACACCAAGTGTTCGGATATACACAGATTCCCAATCCAACCCAGGCCTTCTTCCCCTCCTTTGCAAACGATTCAGCCAGCCTCGTCCAATGATGTAGTAGTGTTTTACAACAGGTCGCGCTTGACGAATTGCTCGCGCATGGCGCGGCCCAAGCCAGCCGGGCTCCTCTCCACAACGACGCCAGCAGCCTCAAGAGCCTTGATCTTGCTGTCGGCACCACCCTTGCCGCCGCTGACAATGGCACCGGCGTGACCCATGCGACGTCCCGGGGGAGCAGAGATACCAGCGATGAAGCTGACAACGGGCTTGCCCTTTCCGTCGACTCCACTGGTGTTGTTTGCCAGCAGGAAGTCGGCAGCATCCTCCTCAGCGGATCCACCAATCTCACCAATCATGATGATACCGTCAGTCTCCTCGTCCTTGAGGAAAACGTTGAGGCAGTCAATGAAGTTGGTACCCGAGAAGGGGTCACCACCAATACCAACGACCAGCGACTGGCCAAGACCCTCCTGGGTGGTCTGGTTGACAGCCTCGTAGGTCAGGGTGCCGGATCGCGACACGATACCGATGCGGCCGCGCTTGTGGATGAAACCAGGCATGATACCGATCTTGCACTGGCCAGGGGCAATGATACCGGGGCAGTTGGGGCCGACGAGACGGGTTTTCGACTGGGACTTCAGCATGGAAGTGATGCGGACCATGTCTGATACCATGTGTTAGCCCGCAAACCTACAGATGTTGGGCAGATTTATTGGATTGCGCAAATGTACTTACCGTGCTGCGGAATACCTTCCGTGATGCAAACAACTAGGGGGATCTCGGCGGCGATGGCCTCCTCGATACCGGCAGCGGCCAATGGGGGACTGACGTTTCATGTCAGTTCAGCAGGTCTTTTCACGGCACGGTAACGCCATCACATGAGAACGAGAGCTTACGGAACAAAGATGGCAGTGGCAGTGGCGCCAGTCTCCTTCACGGCCTCGCTAACATTGCCAAAGACTGGGAGACCAAGGTGCTCCTGGCCGGCCTTCTTGGGATTTGTGCCACCAACAACCTTGGTACCTATTTTATTCATTCAAGTCAGATGATGACGTTCGATGGATGGGTGGCGCGTCGCGAAAGTGTATTTACCGTATTCGATAGCTTGCTGGGCGTGGAAACTGAAAAGCCGCAACACGTTAGCAGGGATGGACTTGGCAGGGCAATGCTCTGCTCTGGGGAAAAGGGCAGAGATAGATAAGCAACTCACGTTCCCTGCTTTCCTGTAAAACCCTGGAAGAGGACCTTGGTGTCGCCGTTGATGCGCAGGTTCTCAATGGTGGCGGCGTAGGGAGAGGCATTGGCGCTGTATGCGCGGCGGGAGAGCTGGCGCAGAGTAGCTGCACCCGAGCTGCGAAGCTGTCTCGAGAAAGCCTGCATCTTGAGATGTGTGAAATGAAGTAGGAACGGCTCGAAAAGTGTCGAAGTTGATGGGAGATGCAGCAGACGGCGTCAGTCAAGACGAATCTGCAGTGCGTAGACCGTTGATGGGAACGGTTGAGATCGACGGGGCCCTGAAAAAAGGATGAGTACTATTATTTACAGCAGTCAAAGAGCAGCTGTCAAACTTGACGATGTTTCTTGACCCAGGTTGCACAAGCCCAAAGCCAGTGCTAGCTCGGGTGAATGCTCGGGCCCTTGTTCTGATTGGCCTGGAGCCGGATAATCCCGGCTGAACAAATCATGCATAAGATTAGCTATCTACTTGGACAGCAGCACAATTTGGCTTTGCATTTCATGCGCCAGTTGAGTCTCATGGGCGCCACAGTGCTGAACCACATGTCCATCAAGCTTCAGCCTCAAGCATAAAAAAGATACGTACTTAGTCAGCTCAAGCCTGGCGCGTCGTCTCCAGTCTGCCGCCTGATTACGGCACTCACTGGTCGTAGGTAGCTGCTTGCAAGCACTGTCATCGATTCCGCTGGAGCTTCTCAGCACAGCACCTCTGGCTTCGGCCTCTTGCCTTAATCAACTCCCAACATCAACAACTTCCTTCATCAGCCAAACTACAACACACCCACCAACAGGTCTTCAACTGGGGGCTTTTTGGTAATATTTGCAGTGAAGTATTCATCACTGCAATTGCATTTACCCAAATCCTCGATTTATCCCCCGAACCGTTCAACCAGTGCAGCCTCGTGGATAGTTGATTCGATACCAGTCCTCACATCGCCAAGATGGTAATTTACCAAATCCATCATTACAACACACCGCTCGATGTGCTAATCAATGATTCCGGAATAGGGTCAAAACCAATCTGGCATGGGTGGCGGTGGCCCCGGTGACAGAGATGACAAGGACAAGAAGGTATGTTCCACACGGCGCTCATCATCGTCAGCGACTTCGAGCTCAGCTTGCTGACCACTCTTTCCATCATCAACAGAAGGACAAGCCCAAGTACGAACCCCCGCCGCGCCCTACCACCCGCGTCGGTCGCAAGAAGAGAAAGCAGGGAGGTTCCTCTGCTGCCGCCAAGCTCCCCGCCGTCTATCCCACCAGTCGATGCAAGCTCCGACTTCTACGCATGCAGAGAATCCACGATCATCTTCTTCTCGAGGAGGAATACGTCGAGAATCAAGAACGCCTTCGCAAGGCAAAGACTGCCAAGGATGCCGCTGGCCCCGCTGCTTCAGAGCTCGATGCTGGCGACCGAAACGCCGACGAACGTGGTCGGGTCGACGACATGCGCGGTAGCCCCATGGGCGTAGGAACTTTGGAGGAAATGATCGATGACGACCACGCCATTGTATCCAGCACTACCGGCCCCGAATACTATGTTAGCATCATGAGTTTCGTCGACAAGGACTTGCTGGAGCCTGGCGCTTCCGTCTTACTACACCACAAGAGCGTCTCCATTGTCGGCGTGTTGACTGATGATGCGGACCCCGCCGTCAACGTCATGAAGCTCGACAAGGCACCGACTGAGTCGTATGCTGACATTGGTGGTCTGGAGCAGCAGATTCAGGAAGTGCGCGAGTCGGTCGAACTGCCATTGCTGCATCCCGAGCTGTACGAAGAGATGGGTATCAAGCCTCCCAAGGGTGTCATTCTCTACGGTGCTCCAGGTACAGGAAAGACACTTTTGGCCAAGGCTGTTGCCAATCAGACATCGGCCACGTTCCTGCGTATTGTGGGTTCCGAGTTGATTCAGAAATACCTTGGTGATGGTCCCCGACTGGTACGACAACTATTCCAGGTTGCCGCTGAGAACGCCCCTTCCATTGTTTTCATTGATGAGATCGATGCTATTGGTACAAAACGTTACGACTCAACCTCTGGCGGAGAACGTGAAATTCAAAGAACTATGCTGGAACTTCTCAACCAGCTAGACGGTTTCGATGACCGTGGCGATGTCAAGGTCATCATGGCCACGAACAAGATCGAGTCGCTCGACCCTGCTCTTATTCGACCTGGCCGTATCGACAGAAAGATTCTATTCGAGAACCCTGACCAAAACACCAAGCGCAAGATCTTCAACCTGCACACATCAAAGATGAGCTTGAATGAGGATGTCGACCTGGACGAGTTTATTTCACAGAAGGATGATCTCTCTGGTGCCGATATCAAGGCCATTTGCTCCGAGGCTGGTTTGATGGCTCTGCGTGAGCGACGTATGAGAGTGCAGATGGCAGATTTCCGATCTGCTCGCGAGAGAGTCATGAAGACGAAGCAAGAGGGTGAGCCGGAGGGCTTGTACTTGTAGACGAGTCCAGAGTAGACTGTATTCTAGGCATTGGTAATACATGGTGAGAGCAGTACTCGGTCATAATGACTGTTACAGAATATGACATATTCAGCGCGAGAAAATCTCAGCAATGCTTCAAACGCCATGCAGTGTAGATTGAATGGTGAAGACGTTATCAGTGTAAAAAAGAGGAAAATCCTCAACCACAAGAACACAAGGTCCAATGGCCGAGCGGTAAGAAAAAAGCTCTTGAGTGTAGTGGCCACCCAGGTGAAAATACAGATTCTCTCCGATCTGACGAGAGGGTAGTTTGGGAGGGGGCTCGTTCGAATCAAACGAACCACTTAGAGTCATCGATCTTTTTTGTCATTTTTTAACCCTCCAATTACTGTAAATACTCGACATCTGTATAGATTTATTACCTTTTCGCAAGTATCTCATTATGGTCACCAGACCTCTCGCATCACTCACTACCTTACCCATGAGACGACCTATTATTGTGCCCTCAAATATGATTACGACGGCCGTTATGCAAGTATTTCAGCTACAGATAGCTGCTTATTCCTATCATTTATTAAAGTACAGGTGACTGAGCTGTCTGGATGAATCTCAATCCCGTTTGCTCTCTGCAATCACGGGCACCACCAAGGAGCTTTCCCACTTGCCTCCAGTATGGATTTTATGCCGTCCCTTGTTTTCATCCACTGGAACATTTGTCCTTAACAACTCCACCTCGGGCAGGCGAAGGTCATGCCCGGCAACTCGCAACAAGATTCCCTCGCCAGCCTCAAAGACCATTCCGATCGGCCACAGAGGAATTTCCAACTCCACAATTTGACCTGGGGTAATCTTTTCAGCCTTTTCGTGCGTGTACTGCACGGTGCCGTCCACCACTACCTTGGACACTCGGTGACTCGCCCGGAGCATGCCATCTGGTCCAAGGAACTTGGCGACATTTGTGTCTGGGACTTGCGGCTCTGGCACGGGACACTCGTAGTTGAGACTCTTGAGCGTACTGCCATCCTTTGCAATCTTTTGAATCTGAACGTGGACATCCATGTCATCGTGCTCGTCACAGGACATCCAAAGCTTGGCAGTGGGATATCCGGCGAGTTCAGTATAAGTGTCAAAGTGCACAGAAAAGTTGGAGCTGTCCGTCAAGTGATGCGCATCATGGCTCGTGACGGACTCCTTCTCGGGCCTCGAGGAGGACAAGGAGTGCGAGTCTGCGTCGAGAAAGTAGGTGCGGAGCTCCGTGCCAGGAACTGGCCAGCTCTTCTCGGGGCGCTCGACAATGGTCTTGGCCGGGCTTTCTCCAAACCCGAGCAACGAGAGTCGAAACTTGGGTGTAGTCTCCCAGTCGTTGTCGACCCCCTTGCAGTACTTGTCGAAAAAGGACTGCAGTTCGTCATTGATCTCAGGTCGATAAAGATCCGACCCTACACAGCATGATTAGAATATACTACATTCAGGCAGCAAAAGTATTGCTTTTCCAAGTAACGTACATTCTTGATAAGGGTGCACTCTAAGCCACTTGAGAGGAGTCTTGGCTCGTTGAAAAGTCTCAAATGAGCCCCGAGAATGTATGCCCGTGGAAAATGACGCAGTAAGGTAGAGCGGCACGTCGATATTCTCCACGTGAATCACCTTTGTGGCCCAGTAGTCATCAAACAATGGATTCTTCTCCAGGTAAGACGCAGCGTCTTCAATCCCACCCTTTCCTAAGTCATGGTTAGAGACGGATTACGATGTGAAGTATCCAAACGGAATCAATAATTACCGGCAAGTCCAGCACTAATCATCCGCATAAAAGGCGCACGAGGAATACCACCTCGCCCCATTTGGTCTCGGTAAGGATCCGTCATGGCCTCCATGGGCGCGAGTGCCTTGAGAGCGGGGTGGCTGAACCTCGACGCAAGGTTGATTTGGGCTATAGCGAGCCACGAGTTGCCGGCGAAAGCGACGGAGCCGTTGCACCATGGCTGCTTGGAGGCCCACTCGACCGTGTCGTACATGTCCATTGCCTCCTTTAAGAATTCACGACCAGTCAGTCATCTTGTTCATAGTTGCTCACAAATGAAAGGTACACGCACTTGTTCTCCCCAGAAAACAATATCTCCTTCCGAGTCTCCCGCGCCTCTGGCATCAATGTTGATAATGGCATAGCCCCTGGTGCACCACTCTGCGGGATCCAAGGCCTCGAATTTCTCATACCCGGATGTTTTGTCCAAGGGGACACCACAGCGGAACGGGCCCATAACATCATAGGTTTGGGCACCTTGAACAGCAAAGTTAGTAAAACAAGGACAAGAACGTTTCCATCAACACAAAATATTTCTCGAGGAAAGTGTTCTTACCTCCACTTTTGCCGTACGGACTCCATTGAATCAGGGCAGGGACTTTTCCATTGCTATCATCTGAACTCGTGGCTCGAAACACATCCGTGTAGAGCTTGACCTTGTCCCTCATTTCCACAGCGACATCTTTTTCGAATACCGTGTCCACGTCAAAGGGGCGGCGGCCGGGATCCTTGGCATGTCCCGCCTTGAGGACCTGCGTGGAGGGGTTGAAAGGGCTGTAGAGGTAATGGGGATGGCTGTTTGGGTCGACGAGGGGCGCAAACTTGAGGTCGGGAAATCGTGACTTGAGAGCCTCCATGATGTAAGTTTTGATCTTTGGACTATAGTAGACGAGGTAGATTTCATATAGACGATGCAATAATGATAATTCAATGTTTGTGTCAATTGTATTCTTTATATATCCGGCATTTCGGACCCCATGTCGTCCGCTTAGTCCGCGGAGCAAGCCCCCGTCTGTAATGCCGAATATGCCGTTTGCGGCCGGCCAATTATACTGGGTTCAGCAGTGCCCCGCAGGTCTTCAGGTCCCCGCAAGTCTTTGACATTTGGGGCCCCGCAGGCTTGTCACAGAGTTGGAGTTTATAGGCTTGGAATATTGGGGGAAGAAAAAAGAGAAAATAATACTAAGATATCTAATATCAAAGGTCTTGTAGTGAATATAAATGCCAAATTTACAAACGAAAATCTTCTCCATGCAGGATGGGTTGAATAGCCTTTATAGCATAGATCAGCTCGTCTTTGGATTTGCAGGCAGCAAAGACGAAGCGGTCCGGCCTGACTACTACAAACTTGCTGTCGGGTAGCTCTTTTACGAGACGTAACTCGTCGTAATACCGGGGTTCAGGGCGATTTCGACAAAGCGGACTGCTGGAGAATTCCTTGCCGCTAGCTATGCGGACTGTCTTTAGTCGAGTGGCGATTTCAGTAGAAGGGAGATGTTGTGCGCTGGTGTCCATGACGATGACGGTGGTTTCAGACACTTCAAGGTACGGATTTGATTGTTCTTGTTCTCGTTCCACCTCATAGATTTCGCGGTAGACTGTTGATAGCTCTTGTACGCTGGAAGCGAATGCAACTAGTTGTAAGAGACCCTTTTTGGCGGGATGAAAGATTTCATCATCGGTAAATCCGATCCTGATGGCCTCGTCTCCGAGAGAGCCCGGCTCGAGTGGCGCACAGTATACTTGTGGTAGTAGTAGTCCACCGTGAAGATGGGGAATGAAGTGTAGACCAGGTTGCGGCTCATATTGGCACATTCCACTCGCTCTTGCGCCCATTTCGAGCTGACGTTTCCAGGATGGAATTAACTGCAACCCCCAGAGATATGTATCACGAAGAAACACCTTGAGGGGATTACTTTCAGTGACATATCTTCCATTCTCGACCGTGGCTGCCAGCGACCGCTCCAGCTGCTGTTTGCGTTCTTGGTACCATGCTTGAAAGAGGGCTTCATAGGGCTGGAATCCCGGCTGACATGCAATCTTCAGGCGCCACGCCAAGGAGCAAGCGTCTCGAAATCCCGATGCCAGTCCTTGCCCTCCAACTATGTGTATCCTGTCAGTTTTGTCTGTACAAACGTTTTGTAGCCACAGCCCAAGGATCTACCTACACGGAGGAAACACGTGAGCTGAATCACCACTGAGTAATACCCGTCCTAGAGCCCATTTGTTGCAGCTTCTTGCGGCAAACAAGAAAGGGCTGGCACGAAGCGTCTCAATGCAGTCTTCAGGAAACGTGACTACATCCTGAAGCCTAATAACAAATCGGTTAAAGATGCATGGTAGCAGAAAAGGTATTACGGGACTGACCCAAAACGACTCCCGGGATGTGTAAAGTATGGTCGCAAAATGTCGTTTAGGCGATCGGATTGCACGAGTTCCTGTCCATTTTCACCATTCTTCACGACAAATTCGAACCGCCACAGCCTTTCTTCCGGCCGTCCAAATCGGCCACACACTGCTGGCCGTTGGTGATTACACAGGAACCTAAAGTTTGTCGGAAAGAAGAGGTCAAATACGTCTTCGGAGCTGTAGCCAAGTTTCCATAGGGGGAAGTCGGGATGCGTTTGGGGGGTAGGGAGCGAAATCTTCCAATTCACTGCAACCCAAGTCTCTTCATATGCACTCCTAGCTTAGGTTAGCATCGTGCCACATATTTTTCGCGCGAAAGACTGATGAATAAATTAATAATACTAACTGAGTTGATTGTACCATCAAGATGCCTTTTTCTTCCAGGTACTTCTTCCTGGTGAATCCAGTCTTGCCATCAGCACCAACCAGATACTTGCCTCTGATCACTTTGGTGTGTCTATTCGCATCTTGGTACGTAGCATAAATCCAATCGCAGTCTTCAGAGATGGCTGTCAATGTGCATTGCTCTCTCAGCTGGCTGGAAGAAGACTCTAGCAAGGCAGTTCGCAGGGACTTTTCGAGGTGCGGCTGCTTGTGGCAAATGAAACCAACGTGTCCCGTCCCTCCCTCGGACGTGGAGTAGTCCATGGCCAGAAAGGCAGGATGATGAAGGTCGTTGTGCACACCACTGACGAAGAAGAATTTTCCCATGCACTGTCCAATGCTGGTAAAGATATCATCATAGCGACCGATGCTCTGTACAGCTCGTATGCCATCCTCGTCAAGAGCAATGCCGCGCGGATCGTTGGTAATGCCGTCCTCTTTATCCAGACAGATGTTTGATACACCTAGTCGACCGAGCTGTGCTGATAGCATGGCACCAGTCGGTCCACATCCAATAATGATGACATTTGTGGTTTCTGGACTCGTTTCTGCCATTTTTATGCGTTTTTCTCAAAGAAAACTTGTATGATTTTCCCAACTCAAATGGCTGGAAAGTTTGTCTTATAAACAGATAATCATGGGGCGTAAAGGTACTCTGATCCTGGCAATGTGGTTTGCACAACTATAGGCTATCAGTGCTCCCCACAATCTTGTGCTAGGGGAAGAATCCAGGGGCCATCTCCCCGCAAAAAGACAAGCTCCCTAAAATGATTAACACCCCTGCCAAAAGAAATGTACCATGTAAGGTACCTAGAGTACCTAGACATTTTCTCCGATAGCAAGGCCCCCCGACTATGTGAATTTGTAACCACTGCAACAACTTTTCCTGCTGCATATTTCTTTCAACAAGTCAAGGCTGATGGCTAGCAACAAGCTTTCTCCCGCGGAGTCTACCCGAGACCAGCCGCAATGGCCCCACGGAGCTCGAGCTGCCATTGCTGTAACATGCGACAACCTGGGTGAGGCGGCTGATCTCAACCGAAAGCTGTGGCCGGAATCAAAGCCTGTTGGGAAGCACTACACGGTCACCGAGGTGATACCACAAATCCTGGCACTGTTGAAGAAATACGACATATCTGTCACTTACTTTGTCGAAAGTTGGAACCTCGGCATTTATGGCGATTTCATTGTCGACAAAATTGCTGCCGCTGGCCACGAAATCGGCTGGCACGCATGGCAACACGAGGCGTGGTACAAGCTCAGTGATGGCGAGGAGGAAGCCAATTTCGAACGCAGTTTCGGTCCACACGGCATTCAGCTACCCTTACATGGCAAAACACTACCGTCATACACTGGGTTCCGCCCTCCAGGCGGGCTGATCAAGGGCACTTCCACTCTCAAACTGGCGCGACAATACGGCCTCAAGTACATTAGTCCTGCTGCCGAGGATGCCGCCGTGATCCCCGTGGATAATGATGGCACAGGTGGTGATAGCTTGGTTGTCCTGCCATTCAAGTGGGCAACGGTGGATGCATACTTTTACATGGAAAGCTTCACCGGCCTACGGGAGATGAAGGGCGAATACCCATCTGCGCCACAATCTCCCGACGTCCTGGTTGAGCGCTACATTCGGGAGGTTGATGAAGCCATTGAGAAACACTCATTCTTGTCCCTGCTCTTCCATCCTTTCTTGACGGAACGACCCGAGCGTCTCGAGGCCATGGAAAAGGTGCTCGCATATCTCGCGCAAAAGCGAGATGAGGGTATCATTTGGCTGGCTCCTTGCCGAGATATCCAGGCAGTCATTGAGAAGAACCCGGGTCTTGTTGGGACGGATCCATCATGGGATACTTCAGTTTGGCGATGAAAAGGATATATCAGTTTGACGTTGCAACGTATTCATAGCGTGCTTGCTGCTACATGAGATAATCTACGACTACAAGATTCTACCACTAGTTTGGCTATAAGCTTATAACCATATGTCTACTTTTGCATCTTATTCATTCGTAACTCATCGCGCCCAAAGTCAACCACACAGAAATACGAGTCTGTCAAAGTCATCATCTTGCAAATCATGTCCCACATGTATGGTCGGCCTTTTCGGGGGTCTGACGCCCAAACCTTTCAGTTTCCTTGCTCCCCACCATCGCGTCCCACCGTCCCACCCATCGAATCCGTCCCACCACCAAGTCTGTCCCACCTCCCATCATGGTCCCGCAGATCCAATACTCACGAGTCGTCATACGCACATATTAATATTCCCTATTTCCCACATGCCGATACGTATAGCCGGTGTCCCTCGCTATAATCAAGACTACGTACATACCTACCTAGGCACCCCCAACCTTTCTCTCTCTCCACATAACATTGATCCCCACGTGCCGTGCAAGCAATCATTATGAATTTATAACTAAGCGTCCTCCTTTTAACCGGTAGTTTGACCATCTAGGCATGGATTAGAAGTTGGGCGGTAGCTATATTTAAGTCATAAGTTTCCAGAATATAATTAATTTAGCTCAGTTGGATCCTATGACATACATGATTTCAACAAGAAGACAAACTTGTTTTCATTGTGTACTGATATTGTCATTTCACACCCTCAAAAGTCCAAATGTCGCGCTGTCAGCCCGTGTCGGAGATTCCTCCCATGAAGGACTTGACCACGGATAATATCACCGACAATGTCAAGATATTGAATAATCAATGCCCACAGGCACGTTCACGCTACATTTTTGACCGACTGGTCTCACATTTGCACGACTTTGTGCGTGAAACACGCCTCACCACGACGGAATGGCAGACGGGCATCGATTTCCTGACCGCCGCCGGCCAGATCAGCAATGACCTCCGTGCGGAAATGATCTTGCTATCAGACACCTTAGGCGTGAGCCTCTTGGTGGACGCCATCAACCACCCGCGCCACGGCAACGCCACCGAGGGCACCGTTCTGGGACCGTTTCACACCCACGACGCCCCCGTCGCCGATAATGGCTACACGCTACACCACGACGAGGAGGCCGCAAAGCTGTTTGTCCTGGCCACGGTCCGCGATGCCAGCGGGCGCCCGATCCCGGGCGTGGTGGCCGACGTGTGGGAGGGCGATGCTCATGGCTTCTATGACGTGCAGAACCCGCACCGCGACCAGCCCGACGGGCGCGCCGTGCTGCGCAGCGACGACGACGGTCTTTTTTACTTCACCGCCGTCGTGCCGGTGCCTTACCCCATCCCCATGGACGGCCCCGTGGGTTCCATGCTGACCCATTTACATCGGCATCCCAATCGGCCTGGTCATATCCATTTCATGCTGCGCAAGCCGGGCTGGGATCCACTGATTACGGCGCTGTACCCTCGAGGTGATCCGTATGAGACGTCGGATCCCGTTTTTGGTGTCAAGGAGAGCTTGATTGTCGACCTGGGCACTGTAGACGACACGATTGCCCAAAAGTACAATGTGAAAGCCGGGACGCGTTTGTTAACATATGATTTTATCTTGGTACAAGAAGAGGAAGCTGCTCGGTTGCGGCAAGAGTTGGCAACCAAGGCGGTGGAAGAAATGGGGCTTGGCGTGGCAATTGAAAATGGACTCCCAGTTCTTGATGTTGACTAGATACATGGTCCATTTTCAGGAGAACAAGAAAAGATAAATACTGGCGTATTTTGAACTATTACTACTTGACCAGAGACCTTTGTACTAACAGCCTACGGACTTGAAAATTAAGAAACGGTGATAAGCAATACAAGCAGCTTTTACCTGGGGCTATCGGAGGACCTATGGTCTCAAAGAGAACCATACAAAATTTAAATTCAATTCTTGCGGAAAAGTGTTCACTTTGAATTGGAAAAAAAAAAAAAAAGAAAACACACACACACACACACAGAGAGAGAGAGAGAGAGAGAGAGAGAGAGAGAGAGAGAGAGAGAGA